TGGGCTGCAGCAGACAACGTGTCGCCAGGCGATGAATCATGGCTGCACAGACTTGGCCAAAGACCGTCCCTGCATGAGTGTGACACACGCTCCAGGGTGTCACAGCAATCAGCACGGAGGACGCCGGACGTCTCCCGGCACGTTGTGACGGACACATGGCAGCAGTGACCCAAGGACACAGACAGCGGGTCCGCGTGGTCTGCGCGGTGCACGGCCCAGGGACGGGACGCCCACTGTGGGGCGGCAGGGCCCCTCACACACGGGTGGGGACCCTGGTTTCCGCCGCCCTCCCCAGACTGCAGGCCGGGGCTTAGAGGACGGCTATCGCACAGGCAGTGCGTGGCAGGGTCAGGCCCGAGCCCGCACAGCCCGTCTCCCCCGCCCCTGCCCTGCATGACAGCGACCAGCGGGCCCAGCCTGTAGAACGGTGGGGGTGACCCAGCAGTCGGCACACACGGTGCCTCAGGCAAATGCAGGTGGCAACCCAAACCCACAAGAACATCCCGACTCGTCTTTTGGGGTCTGAAACAGCGAATCTATGCCGGGCAACACGTGACTGTGCAGATTTGGGGGCGGTGGGCACAGGGTGGCCGGGGCGGGGAGCGGAGGCGAGGGCCTGGCAGGGCGCAGTGATGGGCTCCGTCTCCCCCGTCTGACATGAAGACTCGGCTGCACTTGACAGAGACGAGATAAACACTGACCCGAAAAGCGAGCCTTCTGTGACTCTCCTAACAGATTCGCTTCAACTCCCAGACCTCCAGCCGCCTTGCCTGCTCCAGAGCCGGGCTGGAAGCCTTGCCGGGCAGAACGCTGAAGTCCAGACTGTGGGTCCGCCTGTGACTCGTCCACGTGCACGGCACAAGCCCTGAGGCTTTAGAGAAAACCTTCAGACGGGCTCCGTTCACACACCTGTCCTCAGGTGCGGGCTGGGTCTTGTCGCAGCGTGAGGATGAGCGGTCCCTCAGAGATGCTCCCGCTCACCCCTACCCGCAGCAGCTGGCGTGCTGTCCACTCCGGATGCCTGGTGGCACCTGCTGACCGGCTCATGGCTGGGCGCCTGGCGCTTCACATGGCATGCGATGGACTGCAGGGACAGGGGACCCCCAGTCACGGCCAGTCCCACTTGGTGGGACAGTGGGGGACCGTCACTGCAGTGAGCACCCAGTGGTCAGCCCGTTCTGCCGTGGGGCTCATGTGTGAACACCAGCTGACGCCCGCGCCTCCTGTGCACACCCCCGAACACGCGTGTGCTTGGCTTTGTCCTTCCAAGGTGGCGTTTGAGACCTCACTTTTCTTCAGTTTGTAGCTTTTTTACTTTTACTGGATGCACTGGTGTGACGCTGGTTAAAAACTGTACGGGTTCCAACTGCATAGTTGTGTAACGTGACGTCCGTACAGGGCTCTGTGCTCGCCACCCACCCAGCTCCAGTCTCCCCGCAGCCGAGTCGCCCACCCCGTTCCCCTCTCCATTCCCACCCCCAGCGACCACCCACTGCTGTCTGTGTCCACGAGTTTTTGTCTGTTAGCCTTGCTTGTTCGTGTGTTCAGTTTTTACCCCACGTATGAGTGAAATCACGTGGTTCTTGACCTTTCCCGTCTGCCTCGCCTCGCTCAGCATGGTGTAACTCACACGGGGTCCGCCACGACAGGACAGCAGACAGTTCAAAGCCAAACAGAAACATCCAAGAGCACGTACCTCGTCCTGGTGCCGAGGAGGCAGCGACAGACCTCACTCCGACCAGGACACCGTCTGGGAGCAGCAGCCACCCCAGGTCAGGCTCCAGGACACTCGATTCTGTGCCTGACGGAAAACTATGTGCACAGACGAGTCCCCGCACGGGGCGTGACACTCAGTGCCCGGACGTGTCCCCTGGGCTGCCGGAGACACGCTGGCTCCCTGGGCTCGCAGTGGCATCGGGTCCATCACTCCTGAAGTCCCCTCGGATGTCACGTCGGTACGACAGCCACGCCTCCGCCGTGGGTGCCACTGGGTCCCTGTGCCATCGCCACTGGTGGTCCCGCCATGCACGCCCGGTCCTCCCTGTGTTCCTCACGGCCGCAGGGCCACGGCCAACGCCTGGGCTCGTCTCTGACAAATGAGCACATGCTCGCGGCTCCTAGTGCAGCGAGGTGACGAATCCCCACTTCCACAGCACCGAGCATCTGGGGGCAACGCGCCCCGCAGACGCTCCCTTCTGGCTCCGAGGGAGGGGCGCCGGTGGCGGCTCTGGCTGCGGGAGGCCCCGTAAAGGCTCAGCCTGCTCCTGGCTTCAGAGCTCAGGAGCTGTGTCCTGGGGGCCGGCCACATCGGACGCAGTGGCGAGCGTGTGCAGACTGTGGGGTCGGTGACGCGTGTCCTGCTCCGGCCACAGAGACGTGTACCTCTGGGCTGCCCCTCCGCCCCCAGCCTGGGCCCCCGATGCCAGTCCGCGTACTTGGGGAGTGGGGCGGCATGTTCACGTCCCAGGCTAGAGGTCTGATGGAGACTCCCTTGAGAAAATGTCATCACAGCCACACGGTTGGGTCTAAGGGCCCCCAGACGGAGAGGTGTGCGGCAGCAGAGCCTGCTGTGGTTCCCACTGTGGACGAAGCAGCTGACTGTGCACACGGGCTTCTGCAGGCAGCTGGAGCTTCCGGAACTTTCAGCAAGGAGAGCCGCTAGGCCAGACCGGCCGCCATGCAGCGGCTGCTAAGTATGAATGATCTTTGGCGGGCATCTTGGTACCGTGTCAGGTTGCTGTGACCTGCTGGCTTTGCTCGGGTACAGGGAAGCATCGGGGGAGGCTGTGGGTTTGGGGCCACTGTCCTCCAACACCGGACTTAAAGCCGTCCCCGCCCCCAGCAGTGCCGGCCACCGCGATGCATGTGAGTAGCAGGGTCCGCCCGGCCACGTCCCCAGATGCAACGCGGGGCCTGTGCCCGCCTGGTGAGGCTCGTGGGCGTTACTCCGCTTAGCGTGCGTGCGTGCGAGCGCGTGCTCCCGCGACGCAGCTGAGACCGTGGTCTTTGTCTGCGAGCGACAGGCTCGCTGCGGCCTGTGTGGTGCGTTCCCCCGCAGCGTCCCCACTCAGTGCTCCTCCCACGGGGTCGGGGGTCACGGGCTGGCGCGCGCAGTGCGCCCGCATGACAGGGTCCGGTGAATGCTGACGCTCACCGCGGCTCACGTTTGTTTCATGGCGAATCTACGACGTGGCAGAGCTGACCCGGACAGGAAACGTTGCGCTTTCTGCCCTGCCCTGATGGGGCTGGGGCGCACGGGCTCCCGTTCCAGGCACTGAACAGACCCCGGGGTTCGCCGTGCGTGTGTGGCCACCGCTGTCACCCGTCGTGGAGCCCTCGGCCTCCGCGGAGGAGGTGTGTTCGGCACGCGCTGTGGTGCCGGTGCGGCTGCCCGTGGGACCCGCGTGGGACCCGCGTGGGACAGCGGCTTTGGGCGGAAGGACTCCCGGCCGGGTGAGGGGGTGAACACCGCAGAGACGCGTCATGACAGGCTGGCGGGGGGCACAGCCCGACGCCCGGGGGCAGAAGGGGAGCCACGCGAGACGGTCGGCGCACACGTCGGCAGCACGTTCGTCCAGTGCGGGTCAGCGTCAGTTACAGACCCTCTGCTCCGCCATCAGGTGCGCTGGGCCAGACCCACGGCGCCCCCGCGTCCTGGGAGAAGGGTCGCGGAGTGGCCGCCCGACCCCGCCACGCCTGGCCGAGCTCAGGTCTGACTGGCTGCAGGTTCATTAGTCACATGGACAAACCGCATACCCGAGCCCCAGCCCCCCACCCTGCACCGAGAATCGTCGTCAGGTTGTCGCGGTGCCCGGAGGGGGCGTACACTGCAGTCCGCAGTGACAGTCAGCCCCTCTTCCTCCTCCGTGTTACTTCGAGCCTCTTCTCATTCTCGATGCCTCCAGCACAGCCACCGAGAAGTGGGGGGCCCCGGCATCCATGCATCGGCTCCTTTCCGCCCCCACAGACTGGCCAGGTTGCCCGGCTCCACCCTGACCGCTAACTTTTCCCTAGATGTGTCCTAGAGGCCACACTGCACAGCCACAGCTCACGTCCAGAGCAAGCAGCCACCGTCCTCGTTCCCGCCGAGGTCTCCGGCTGTGCGACATCGTGCACATTTGCGTGTGAGTCACGTACCATTGAAGAGGCAAACACACAGAAAATCTTCAGAACTAAAAACAGTCCCGGAGGCCCATGTTTTCAGTTATTGCAGTTTGCAAATGAACTTGGCAGTCACAGAGCTCCCTGCAGAACGACTCTGCGGGAAGCGCAAGTCTGCCAGGAGCCCGGGCCCGCTGCCCCGGGCGCCACAGTCACGCCCCCGCGACCGCTGACGCCAGTCTCCTACGCCCGGATCCGTGAGTGTCATCTGCTGACAGCACATGGGCGTGATGATCACAGTAATCACAATGTCACGGGAGGCTGACATCTGTCACTCACTGGGATGAATGTGCCAAGGTCTCGTGTGATCAGGTTTAATTGTCTCCTACCCGTCCACTTTCTCTCGATGAACAGGGGTCAAAGGCTGTGGGGAGTAGGCAGACCGTCTGGTCCCCCAGCAGGCACAGGGGCACCTGCAGAGCCCGCTGGGTGTCCACTGTGCACCCTGCCTCTCGTCCCCCAATACTGCAAGAAGCCGTGACCCCCCATCCTGCCACCCGGCCTCTGCAAAGCATGACCTGCCAGTGGCTCCCAAAGTTCCTCACGATGCTCCACAATGCAAGATGTGTTTTACATTGAAACCTAAGACACACACACGTGCACACACCATATGCCACATATCCACACATGCACACACACGTCCATACAAACATGTGCACACACACATCCACACCACACATCCACGCATCCATGTGCACACAACCAGACACCACACACATGCACACACCACATCCATGCACATGTGCACACACCGCACCCACACACGCACACACATCCATGCACACGTGCACACACAACACAGAGGCACACAGCACACATACCACATACACATCACACACCTTGCGTATCCACTTACACATGCAGACACCACACACACGCCACACATGCACACACAAACACCACATACACACGCATGCCCCATATGTACATTCGTATACACACTACATACAGCACACACCACACACCTCCACATATCCATGCACACATATGCATATACACCACACGCAACCGCACCCTCCCACGACACACATACATGCACATGCACACCACACATAAATCCACACACATGCACGCTCACCACACATAAATCCACACACATGCACGCACACCACACATAAATCCACACACACACACGCACACCACACAT